TGCTTGTGTTCCCTCTCTCGCTGTGTCTCTGTCAAATAAATAAATAAAATCTTTAAAAAAAAAAAAAAAGAACTACTCTACACAAGAGAAGAAAAGTGTAAGAATTTCAGGTGATCTATGAGAGGGACCCATAATCTAAAATCTTCTAAAGCTACCAGTCTGGTTATAGCAACCTCTATTTTGTAGGGACTGTATTCTCAGACATTTTCATTTTGTTTGAATATAAAACTCTGCCTTACCTAATTGCCTAATTTAGATGGAAAGATCACTGTCTTGCCTGTTTTCACACTGAGATGTTATGTTCGAATTTTCAGCAAGAAAAATGTCTTATTTTCTAACCAAATGAATACCACCTACCATATCTGTGACACAGTTTCCACCAAGCAAGTAACAATACAAAGGCAAAAGCTCTGGAAATGGCTTTGTTGAGAACTGTTCACTTACTCCCAGAATTAAGGAAATGGATTAAAACAAAACAAAACAAAACAACCCATTAATTTGTTCTAGGTTCTGCTGAGACCGAATTACCAGTTACTGAACTGTTCCTCTTCGTTCAGGTCACCTAATTGTCGAACGTAATTTTATGTTGATCTAACATTAGTGAATTTAATTTTTCACATTTATTTCAATATTCGGTTGACCTTGAAAAATGTTTTTCTGATCTCCTCCACAACGATTACATTTGTTCCTATACGGTCACAAAAAAGTTACAACTTCCTCAAAGACTGGTTAAAGTGCAGTGTAGATTATGCAGTATCTTCCAATGGTCTCTATGCTTTATTTGACAATTTCTCAGTGAAACACCAAGTATGTAAAAACTCTAAACCAGCAGCAACTTAGAGAACGTTAAGACAAAAAGTAATTTCTGGAAACAAAGGACTACTAAAAAACATCAACTCTTTGCCTTAATTTACCCATTAGAGTTACTGTTAAGAAAGGGAGAGCAGATTTTTAAAAATTACCTAAAACAAAGTGCCTTTAAGGGCATCATCTCTTGAGAGTTCCTACCGGAATGAAAGAAACCATTCAATATTCTTCTAATTTTAGTTAGATTACATTCCTGATGTATTTGAGAAAAAAAAAGTACCCCAGAATGAGCAATCCTGACTCTCCAAATAGCCAAGCATCACAACCCACAAAAATTATTTGTTTCCCTTCCCACCTGACATCTGAACTCACCACTTGCAAGCCCCATCCCTGGAGAATTTTAGTCCCTAAGTAAATATACTGACTACTCTAGCTGAAACGGAAGCATGTACTTAGCCAACCTGATGGATGACTACTTTCATAGTACTGTAGGGAAGTTTTATATGAACTAGTGAAAGAAATGAGGAGGTAGATTGATGAGAGGGAGGCCAGCAGGGGTCCTGAAAGGGTAGCTCCTCATTTGTAAAAAGCAAGGGAAAAGTGAGTAGAATCACAGAAAATTCCTTGTACCTTAATTGCCACTGTTTTTATGACAACCTTATTAAATAATCTTTAAAACATCAAGAAAGAGATCTGTAAAACTCCTTTCAGAAATAATAACGGGGAGTTTACAAAGTCATTTGCTACCATTTGCTTCCTGTTCAGTGTCTGCTACAGCAAAAGACAAGTTGAAAGGGCCTAAAACTAGAAAAAGGATGAATGAGAGAAGTATGCCAGGGGTCATTAGTACTTGTTACATTACAGAATTTAACTGGAATTCACTAGGCTTTTGAGAAGATACATATTTTGTTGAATATCAAAGAATCTGTCTGTAGGCCACCCCCAAACACAAACGCATGTTTAATCAACTTATTCAAGGCAACAGCCACACATACTTGGGATTTCAAATACTGCCTTTTAAAAAACATACACCCATACATTCTAATTCCACCCAAAATTATTCTTTAAATCTCTGCAGTAAGGCGCGCCTGCACGCACACACACACACATTTAACTTGATGTAAATCTAGCCCTTCTTGCTTAAACACCCCGAGGAAAAGAATGAACGCCTCAGTAGGCTTTCCTCTTCTTCAGACCCTAAAAGACTCGAAAAGAAGCCAATGGAGTTCAGAACGAAGAAAGAAGGCAAGTAATACAGGAGAATACAACTGGAGACCCTCTCAGGGACTCATTTTATTCTTGGAAAATGTCATCTCCATTCCTTCCCCAAACCCAAAGGCCAGGCACCACTGGCGCAATACCATCCCTGTCCAAAGCGCCAAAGAGTTGCCAACTAATCTCCCAAGGTGTCCCCCAACCTCCTCACCTCGTCAGCGCTCAGCTCCTCCATCGCTTTCCTCTTAATGGTGAAAGGCGTTAGGGAGAGATCCTTCTGTTCTTGAGACCAGGGCGGGAGGAGAATGGAAGGTGTCTATCGGGCTGTCTGGTCCCCCGAATGGGGGAGGTTTCAGAATTGCATAGTCAGAGGTTAAAAAATAAGAACACGAGAGGCACTGAACCGCCTTGGCGTCGGTCACTCCAATCGCCCCAGAGACTCCTACAGCTGCTTGTGCCCCGAGCAGCCTCCTTTGGCCGCCACTGCTGCTGCTCTACAGGGTTATCTTAAGGCGCCACTATTGCCCTCTGCTTCCCAGGTTACCCAGACCAGGGACTCGGGTCTCCAGCTCGTCTCGTGCCCCGAGCCTGCTGGGTCTTCGTGGTAGTGGCGCGGCAGGTGCGCTTCCTCCAGCAGATCCTGCTCTCTTTCCTACCCTTTGCCCCAGGCGGGAACTGTTCGACTGCAGAGCGGATGCCCCGAGGTAAGGCGACCCCAGAGCCGCCGAGGCAGAGCCCAGCACTGAAGAGGGAAGCCCCTCCCCTCCCAAAGCAGGCCGGCCACGCCCCGCCTCCACGCCGGAGCCCGGGCAGGGGGGAGGGGGAGGACGGGACTCGCGGTGCTCCGGATGTAAGAGTAAATCCTCCTACCCCTCCACCCCTACTCTTACCCCCTCGCCCCACCAAGTATTATTCATCAAAACAACAGGGCGGCCATCTTTGAAAGGGATCACGTGACCCCGCCAGAGAGGCGGGGCTCCTGGCCCCAGGACGAGGTAGCCAATGGGCCGCGGGCGTCGCGCCGCCGATTTCCTCTCGCCTGCGTCTCCTCCCCCCACGCCCCACCCCCTCCCCCGC